CTGCTGCCACACACACACAGCCTCCTTTTCCCGCCCTCAGAAGAAGCCCGTGGCGAAAGGCGGCAAGAAGAAGAAGCAGGTGCTCAAGTTCACGCTGGACTGCACGCACCCCGTGGAGGACGGCATCATGGACGCGGCCAACTTCGTGAGTGAGACGCCAGCTCCGTGCCGGGACCGCTGCCCCCGCGCCCCCTTGGATCCCTTCTCTGTTAGAAAGTGCCGCTGCCCTCCCCTAGACTTCCCTCTTCTGCCTGAAGGGAAAGCGTGTCCTTGATTTGCGCTGATGAGCAGAAGCGTTGCCTGAAAAGTGGACACACATCTTTGTGCGTGTGTTGTCCCCAAGCAACGGCTGCCAGGGCGCTCCTGGTACCGGTCCCCAGCACCCGCAGGCTAGACACCCGCGTAGCAAACAGCCCAAAGTGCCTAATCAAAGGGTGCTTCTTTTGTACGCAGTTTACAGTTTGTTTGTGGACTCTTTACCCGCTGAGCAATAGGCATTGCTTACAACTCGGGAGGGTGGCTTTCCTTTGAACTTTAAGAAATGGCATGCAAGGACAGCAGCGGCTTTCAGCGATTTGAGACAGAGGGATCTGGGTGCATTCTTTGAGAAGAAGCGTAAAAGCACCTGTGTTATTATTGTCACATCAAAAAGCAGGAAATGCTGGTGGGTCAGGAGAACGCTCTTTCACCACTAGGAAGGTCACTTAAGTGCAGGCCTGAGTGGGCCAGGCCGCGCTGGCAGGATCAGTAACACGATGTGTTTGCAGGGTCACAACGCACCTACCTGCGAGGCCAACGCTCCTCTCGCAGTGCTCTGTTGCCGTGTGACCCCTTTGTGTGTTTCCCAAGAAAACATCTCACCAAGAGGCCCAAACGCTCGGCGCGAAGAAGCCGCGGGCCCCTGGGCCTGGCTCACGGCTGTGCCCTTCTCTTGCAGGAGCAGTTCTTGCAGGAGAGGATCAAGGTTAACGGCAAGGCTGGCAACCTGGGCGGGGGAGTGGTGACCATCGAGAGGAGCAAGAGCAAGATCACCGTCACTTCAGAGGTTCCTTTTTCAAAGAGGTGAGGGCGCAGGGGAAGCGGAGCCCTGCACACAGGCCTGGCCAGGAGGTGGCTCGCGGAAGGGCACCTCGGCGCGTCCCTTCTACCCGTCCTGCGCACGCTGCGCTGCGCTGCTTGCGGAGCCAGGCGCCTCGAGGGGCAGGGATGGAGATCCGCCCGGAGGGTGGGCAGAGGGGAGGGGCGGCGGAGGGCCCCGCGTCCCCCGAGTGGGAGCGGGAGCCTTGGGGGGCGGCGAGCAGCCTGGCTCCTGCTGCGGGGCTCCTCCGTCCCGCTGCCCTGGCCGCACCATTGCCCGGTGTTTCTGCCCGCTGGTTTGCCGCAGCGTTTCGATTTTGTGCTGCGAGTCACTGCTGTGTTTTCCGCCCCCTAATCCCAACTGACTCTCCAGGGGTGCAATGCCTGTTCCAGTCGAGCACAGTTTGGGTTTTGATGTGTGTGTGTTGTGTGATGGGTGGGCCCTGCAGTGAATTCTGCCTGGGGAGGGCCTGGCTGCGGCGCGGGCGCCTCAGGGCTCCGTCCCCCGCAGGTACCTCAAGTACCTCACCAAGAAGTACCTGAAGAAGAACAACCTGCGCGACTGGCTGCGCGTGGTGGCCAACAGCAAGGAGAGCTACGAG